CCCAAGTTCAACGCGAGTCCCAACACGCATTATGGGACCCAAATTTGCAGCCGTGTTGTCTCCTCTAATGTCAGGTAAGAGCAGTTGACCAATAGCATGTGCACATCAAACGTTCAACTGAACGCTAACCATCTTCTGTGCCAAGGCAATCCAGACGGGATCCGCCTGACGAAGGAAAATGGTAAAGCCACCCAATGACAGAAGGACGTGAGTGTGGTCACTGCGAAGGCGATCCAGAAGAGCTTTTGCCAGGATGGTTGAAGCTACAGTTGGGAGAGGGTAAGATAAAAAGACAGGAAAATAATTAAAGCTCAAGTAGGAGGAACAATGCGGAGAATGTGCCCAGTAAATCCTACCTAGAAGGTTGACAGAAACAAACTTTGATGGACGCGAAAACGGCCGGGTCTCCTCTAAAGTTCCCACCGCCGCAATACTATCCCCAACGTTCATTCCGAATCGCAATTATCGCCGACCAACGCGTAGATAAACGAAATAGCGAAACATCAAGGTCAGGCCCTACGGACAGCGTTTACTAGCTAATGCAAAACCAAAAAGAGCACTCCACGCGAAGCTTCGCAAACAAAACTGATAAGCGTAGCTCGGCTTGCATGGTGGCCGAATTATAAATGCAAGTGCGGTAGTACTATGCGCTGACTGTGCAACTTGCGACAACACAGTATAAAGGGCACTGGATATTGGAGAAAACAATTCGCGGTTTAATGACTAATCCTTATTCATTCGAGAGACATTGTATTATTTACATGTTTTTAATTATTGACCCGAGACAAACTCTTGAAAACCAAGGCAAGACGAAAACTAGACAATGACTGAAAGCTAAATGAGCTCAGAGTATACTGAGTTATAAAATATCACTACTCGAATACTACTTTCGAAAAGCAACACATGCAAATTAGCTGGTTTATATTTGTAGTTGATACTGCTTTGTCAATTTTTTCGAAGAAAACACCTGCGCTTATTTCCTGCGAGACTTTTTTTTAGCGTTACTGCTGACTTTAGGGTTAAGTTTACTTTTGGGCTTAAAGTTGGTGTTAGAATTATGTTAAGGGCTAGAGCTAGGACATGAAAATAGTTGTGTCAGTAAGGCTGCGTTATGTAGGACACCTAGATTTAATTTACATAGGTAACTAATATAGGTATTTTCGGAGGGCTGGTTTAGTTTATTATCTCATAGCTACGGTAAGAAACCATCTGCGGGTGAACTACTGCATTCATTTAATTGATTTTGATGTTTTTCATATTCAGCAACATTTGCGCTTT